GAACATATTAAGATCTAAATCTATTAATTTAATTGTTGAATTGGGTTATCAAACAAGGTCTTATGCTACTAATTCTAAACTTCACTAGATCATGATCAATTTGAGTATTTTGTTCCGTATTTCTTCATATTATTTAGATGAGTTACTCTAACAAAGTAATAGAAATCAACAAAATCTCAAAAACTACTACCAATGTCTAAAAAATACATACATGAAATGAAATGTGATTGAAAAAAATATATAATGTTTAAGACATTTCTCATCAATATATAAAACTCATTCTCAATATATAAAATTTATCATCAATATATAAAATAATTATATCTTCTTCTTTAAAATAACATAATTGTGTTTAGAGTTATCAAAATATATACCTGATAGGGTGTAATTTGTTAGTCATTTTATTATTAATTTCCCCTTTTATCCCTGATAAATATTGTGTTAATTGCTGTTATCTGCTCATATTTGGTATATGGACTTAATTTCAGGAGGAAGCAGCAAACTACCAAAAAAAAGAGGGACTTTATGAAGAATATGGAGACTTCTAAGGACTTCAATCCTTGGGCCTTTGGATTGGTGGGGACCGCAAAGCCATAAGTCATGTGGACTCTCCAAAGAAAGCTACGGAAGTGGACTTGGAAGAGGAAGTACTTGAGGAGGTTTTGTCCACATGTGTGGCGACCACCTAGATAGCTTTAGTCTATCTTTCTTTTGTCTCTTAAAAGAGGGAACGTACAGGAAGCAAAAGGGGATCTCTAGTTTTAGTTTAGTTTTTAGCCTAGTCTTTAGTCTCTCTTTTCTTTTCTCCCGACTGGCCTCTGACACACGCCAGGTGTTCGACAATATTCCCCAACGGGAAAAACACCTTTTATTCCCTGCTTCTTAATAGAAAACGCAATGCTTTTGCAATCTATTAATTCGGGTGGTGATTTAATTATGCGGCGTGGCTAAATCCTCCATCTAGTCAAGGGGACAACTGACGAATGGGTTCACCACTACTGTGAGATCTAAACCGCTTTTAATTGTTTCCTGCATTTATTAGTATTCATATGTTTCCTGCTTTTAACCGCTATAGCTCGTGTGAGTGATTGAATAGATGCGCAATATTTAATTATTCATATAGGCTATTTTGCTAAATAGAGGTAACTGAATCCGTAATTATTCGCTATCTCTGTCTTTGTAGCAACTGGCGTAATTGGGTTTATGTCAGGGGAGCATACGATCTAGCTTAAATAAACCCTCGTAGCGTGTTTATTGGTTAGGATTGGGCCTTTCTAGTTATTACTGCAATCTAGAAATGAAATCCTACGGTCGTACCTAGGGTTAATTTTGGGTTAGAAAAATAGCTAACGGTCGTACCTTGGCTATCGAGAAATTAAGGAAGGGTTGGTTGTTTAGCGCGTGCGAGACAGCTATAACCAATCTATTAATAAAAGTTGGAATTATCTGTGAATCGATGATCAGTTGCGTGAACCATTCCTAAAGTGTACCCTTGGCTAGAGCTTCTCCAATTATTGTTTTTAATCAATTACTTTCTGCATTTATTTTGTTTAGTTGGCCTTTGATACCAAAACCCCCCCCATTAATCTTGATTTGAAAAGAAACAAATATCTCTCCAGTCCCTGAGGAGACGACCCTGCTTATCACTGTCTACTAGTTAGGGAATTCAGTTAAATAATTAATTCAGGTATATCGGATTAAGCAAACTCTTCGGGAACAGGGTGAATCAAGTAACCCATTGCACACCTAGAGTCCCTGCTCCAGTACTCGAATTGATTACTGACTGTTTCAGGTGGTAGTTAGGATTTATTTATTATTATTGCACAGGTTCGGCATCTGTCAATTTTTGGCGCCGTTGCCGGGGACTTGGCGTTTGAATTATTTGCTTCTTTTCGAATTCAGTTTTTATTTTGTTTTATTTTATTCTTCTTTTTCTTGGTATTTTTGCTAGTTTATGCCCCGTTCTTTTCGCACAGGTGACTTGGTATACGATCCTGAGGTTGAGAAGGCAGCGCGTAGGCGACGGCAAGAGACCAAGAGACGAAAACAAGGGCACTTATTTTCTGAAAACGAGTCAGTAAGAGACGATTTTAGCATGGCCAACACCCAGACATTGAGGGAGCTGGCTACCCCGGAGCTGACTCATCAGCCCTTGTGCATCACGTTCCCAACTCTGGCTGAGAATACCTCCTTCGAGCTGAAATCGGGATTGATTCAACTCCTACCATCGTTCCATGGCCTTTCTGGCGAGGAACCCCACAAACATGTCAAGGAGTTCGAAGTAGTTTGCTCCAGCATGAAACCTCCTGCGGTCACTGAGGAGCAAATAAGACTTAGAGCTTTCCCATTCTCTCTCAAGGATGCAGCGAAGGATTGGTTATACTACCTACCTGCAGGTAGTATCACCACGTGGGCACAATTGAAGAAGAAATTCCTAGAAAAATTTTTCCCTGCATCCCGGGCTGCGAGTTTGAGAAAGGAGATTTGCAGCATCAAGCAGTATTCCGGGGAGTCCTTGTATGACTATTGGGAAAGGTTCAACAGGTTGTGCAAGAGATGCCCACAGCATCAAATTAGTGAACAACTGCTGATTCAGTATTTCTATGAAGGACTCCAGTCAACTGACAGGAGTATTATTGACGCTGCGAGTGGAGGAGCCCTGGCGAACAAGACACCGAGGGAAGCGTGGGACCTTATTGAAGCCATGGCAGAAAATTCTCAGCAGTTCGGCTTCCGTGAGAGTAATCCTACCCGTAGAGTCAATGAGGCAGAGACGTCATCCGTCCAGCAGCAACTGTCAGAGTTGACGTCGGTCGTCAGGCAATTGGCCATGAGAGACACACCGCGAGCGAATGTGTGTGGAATCTGTACTAGCATGGAACACTGCACGGATTCGTGCCCCATTCCGCAAGAGGACGGGGCAGAACAGGTAAATATGGCCGGAGGCGTGCCCGCGGCCCGCAGGCAGTATGACCCGTATTCCAACACATACAACCCCGGTTGGAGAGACCATCCTAATCTCAGTTATGGGAACAGGCAACAAGGTTCATTCCCGAATCGTCCACCAGGATTCTACCAGCCTTGGCAACCAAAACCTCAAACCTCATCCTCCAATACAGGAAGCTCCTTGGAGGACCTAGTCAAGAACCTGGCCACGACTACTAACAACCTGGCCACGACCACTAACAACCTGGTTGCAACTACTACACAGCTTCAGCAGGAGATCAGATCCTTGGCCGCGAAAACCGAGCAGCTCCAGCAGGACACCAAGGCTGACAAGAAGGACCAAGATGTTCGAATAAGTCAACTGGCAACTGCCATCAACCGCTTGGAATCTCACGTTTATGGGAAACTGCCATCGCAACCCGAGGTAAATCCCAGGAATGTAAGTGCCATGACGCTGAGGAGTGGCAAGGAGCTGGAAGGACCTAAAATGAAGAATCCAAAAAGCAAAAGCGAGGAGGAGATAGAAAAGGAAATTGAGGAGGAAGGACGTATTCGTGAAGATCCTAAGGTAACCCCCACCTCTCCACTCACTATTAGCTCTAACTTACCCCCTTTTCCTTGCAGGTTGGAAAAGACAAGGAAAGTAGAGAAGGAAAAGGAACTTTTGGATGTATTCAGGAAAGTAGAGATTAACATCCCCCTACTGGATGCAATCAAGCAAATACCGAAATATGCCAAATTTCTGAAGGACCTGTGCACCCACAAGAGGAAGCTAAGGGGAGATGAACGAGTGGCGGTGGGAGAAAACGTGTCAGCTATACTCCAGAGGAAGCTCCCACCAAAATGTGGAGACCCAGGTATGTTTACCATTCCCTGCAAGATAGGAGGTACTCCAATTAGGAAAGCAATGTTGGATTTGGGGGCGTCAATTAATGTTATGCCTAAGACAATTTATGCATCTCTAAATCTTGGCCCGTTAAAAGGCACAGGCATCATAATTCAACTTGCAGACCGTACCAATGCTTACCCGGAAGGGTTAGTTGAAGATGTTTTGGTACAGGTCAATGAGTTAGTTTTTCCTGCAGATTTCTATGTCCTAGACATGGGGGATGAAAGGGCACTAAATCCGTCTCCTATTCTGTTAGGTAGGCCATTTTTAAGCACTGCTAGGACGAAAATAGATGTAAATGAGGGTACCTTGTCGATGGAGTTTGATGGGGAAATTGTAAATTTTAATATTTTTGAGGCGATGAAGTACCCAGATGAGACTAACTCTGTTTATGCTTTAAGTGTTGTTGAGCCCCTTGTACAGGAAATATTTGAATTGGATGGGGTTGATGCACTGGCAGTGGCATTGGCCAAACATCTTGAGTTGGGAGCAACTCCTGATGTAGAAATAAATGATGAGCTGTACCACGCTGTTGGAGCACTACATTCGCTCCCACCAATTTCCCCAAGGTATGAGCTTACTTCTGTTTTTGTACCAGAAACTCAGGCAAAATTGTTGCCTTCTATTGTGCAGGCGCCTGAGTTGGAGCTCAAACCTCTCCCAAAGCATTTGAAGTATGCTTTTCTCGGGGACAATGAGACACTGCCGGTCATCATATCTGCACACCTGTCACCAGGGCAAGAAGACAGACTAATTCGTCTTCTTCGGGATCATAATGAGGCGATTGGGTGGAGTGTAGCAGATATCAAGGGAATTAGCCCCTCCTTATGCATGCATCGAATCCGGCTTGAGAATGATGCGAAGCCAGTTAGACAAGGGCAACGGAGATTGAACCCACTAATGATGGAAGTGGTCAAGAAGGAGATACTTAAACTCTTAGAAGTGGGGATCATCTTCGCCATCTCAGATAGCCCCTGGGTGAGCCCGGTGCAAGTAGTCCCGAAAAAGGCGGGAGTAACAGTTGAAGAGAACCAAGAGGGTGAGATGGTCCCGATGAGGAAACCCACAGGATGGCGCCAGTGCATTGACTATCGGCGTCTGAATGCTGTGACGAAGAAGGACCACTTCCCTCTGCCTTTTATTGATCAGATGATAGAAAGGTTAGCTGGCCGTGTCTATTATTGTTTTCTTGATGGTTTCTCTGGTTATTTTCAGATTGCAATAGCACCAGAGGATCAGGAGAAAACTACCTTCACCTGCCCCTTCGGTACATTTGCATATCGGAGGATGCCTTTCGGCCTCTGCAACGCCCCAGCAACTTTTCAGAGGTGTATGGTAAGTATATTCTCTGAGTATGTAGAAAAGATTATTGAGGTGTTTATGGATGATTTTAGTGTGTATGGGGATAGCTTTGATGAATGCCTTGATAATTTAGCTTTAATTTTGAAAAGATGCATTGAGACAAATTTGGTTCTGAATTGGGAGAAATGTCATTTCATGGTGGATCATGGTATTGTTCTAGGGCATGTAGTGTCGGCCAGAGGTATAGAGGTAGACAAGGCAAAAGTCGATATTATTTCTGCTCTGCCTTACCCCGCAAGTGTGCGGGAGGTGCGCTCCTTTTTGGGTCATGCAGGTTTCTACAGGAGATTCATCAAAGATTTCTCGAAAATTGGATCGGCCCTGTTCAAGCTATTGCAGAAGGACGTGGCATTCGACTTCACCGAAGAGTGCAAGGTGGCATTTGACAGGTTGAGGGACTCGTTGACGTCACCACCGGTTATCCAACCTCCAGACTGGAATCTCCCATTTGAGATAATGTGTGACGCGAGTGATTATGCAGTGGGAGCGGTGCTGGGGCAACGGATTGGCAGAGCTGCTCATGCAATTTACTATGCATCGAAGGCGTTAAACGGAGCCCAACTCAACTACTCTACAACCGAAAAAGAATTGCTAGCTGTGGTTTTTGCATTAGAAAAATTTAGACCTTATTTGTTAGGTGCAAAAATAACAGTTTTCTCTGATCATGCAGCCTTGAGGTACTTGATGACGAAGAAGGATGCTAAACCAAGGCTCATCAGATGGATCCTGCTCCTTCAGGAGTTCAATTTGGAAATTAAGGATAAGAGTGGGGCAGAAAATTTAGTTGCTGATCACTTGAGCCGCTTACTTGCTCATAAGGAGGAGCCGCCATTGAGGGAGGCGTTCCCAGAGGAGCAACTATTGGCCTTTGACTCGTCTACTCCCTGGTATGCCGATTTGGTAAACTTTCTAGTGACTAATCAATTGCCTGCAGGGTGGCCAAAGGCTAAGAGGGACAAGTTGAAGAGTGACGCCAAGTATTACATTTGGGACGACCCGTACCTTTGGAGACAGTGTTCGGATCAAGTGCTCAGAAGGTGTGTAAGTGCAGGCGAATTTCACTCCATTTTGAATTTCTGTCATTCGTTTGCATGTGGAGGGCATTTTGGGCCCAAACGAACAGCTCGCAAGGTGTTGGAGAGTGGTTTTTACTGGCCTACTCTGTTCAAAGATGCTTATTTATTCTGTAAATCCTGTGATAGGTGTCAAAGGGTGGGGAATATTTTTCGTAGGGACCAAATGCTTCAAACCCCCGTGTTGTTTGTTGAAATTTTTGATGTTTGGGGGATAGATTTTATGGGTCCTTTTCCCTCATCTTTTGGTTTCCTATACATTTTACTTGCTGTGGATTATGTGTCTAAATGGGTGGAGGCAAAAGCCACCCATACTAATGATTCTAGAGTGGTTGCAGATTTCTTAAAATCTAATATCTTTGCCCGTTTTGGAATGCCAAGAGCTGTGGTTAGTGATAGAGGGACACATTTCTGCAACAAGACTATCACTGCCTTGTTTCGAAAATACGGTGTACTGCACAAGGTATCCACACCGTATCACCCGCAGGCGAACGGTCAGGCCGAAGTGTCAAACAGGGAAATCAAGTCGATCTTGGAGAAGATGGTGCGTCCGGACAGGAAGGATTGGAGTTTGAAGCTAGAAGACGCACTATGGGCTTATAGAACCGCGTATAAGACGCCAATTGGGATGTCCCCTTATAGACTTGTTTTCGGTAAGGCTTGCCATCTTCCCGTGGAGTTCGAACACAAGGCGTTTTGGGCAGTGAAGCAGTGTAATATGGGATTAGATGAAGCAGGGGCCCAAAGGAAATTGCAGCTACAAGAGTTAGAAGAAATACGAAATGAGGCGTATGAAAATGCCACGATCTATAAGGAGAAGAGTAAAATCTTTCACGATCAGCAGGTTTCTAGGAAAACTTTTGTAGTGGGGCAAAAAGTTCTCTTGTACCACTCAAGGCTTAAACTTTTTCCCGGTAAGTTGCGTTCTCGTTGGATTGGTCCATTTGTCGTTTCTAATGTGTTTCATTATGGTGCAGTGGAGATCCAAAGTTTAAAAACCGAGAAAAAGTTCGTGGTGAATGGCCATCGTCTCAAGCCTTATTATGAGGGTTTCTATGTTGAAGAAGTAGAAGTTGAACACCTCCAAAATCCACTTCATCATGCTTAGGGGTTTTGGCCATGTCTAGCCAAAGACAGTAAAGAAAGGCGCTACTTGGGAGGCAACCCAAGACTATTTGTTTTAGTTTTCATGCAATTTTGAAATTTTAGTTAGGTGTTAGTGTCAATTGATGGTTTGATGTTTTGTGGCAGGAGATTAGTAGTTAGACGTGCCCACGCCAGATGGTCGCGCCTGACGGATGAAATTTTCGTTCAGAATCTGCGGACTACATAGCAGTTAGACGTGCCCACGCCAGATGGTCACGCCTGACGGAGGAAATTTTCGCTCGGGTTCTGCGAACTCCATAGTAGTTAGACGTGCCCACGCCAGGTGGTCGCGCCTGACGAAGAAAATTTTCGATCAGATTCTGCAAACTCCATAGTAGTTAGACGTGCCCACGCCAGATGGTCGCGCCTGACGGAGGACATTTTCGTTCAGAATCTGCGGACTACATAGCAGTTAGACGTGCCCACGCCAGATGGTCACGCTTGACGGAGGAAATTTTCGATCAGGTTCTGCGGACTCTAGGACAGTTGAACGTGCCCACGCTAGGTGGCCACGTAAAAAAAAAAAAAAAAAAAAAAAAGGGCGAAAAGACGAAATTGCCCTTATTATTATTAAACAAAAAAAAAAAAGAAAAAAAAACCTCCGTAGCCCTTCTTCCTTTCTTCCTTTTTCTTTCTTTCTTCTTCCTTTTCTTTCTTTTCTTCTTTTCCTCTTCTTGCTTGGTCCGCCGCCGCTCCTCTGCGCCGCCTAGCCCAACCGCACGCCGCCGGATCGCGCAGCCTCCTCTGCGCGCCGCCCAGCCCAGCCGCGAGCCTCTCTGCGCTGCACCTCCTCCGCGCGACGCTCCCTGCGCGCCACACCAGATCCACCCCAGCAGCCCAAGCGCGCTCCCTGCGCGCGGCGCCGCCCAGCGCTGCCGCCCCCAGCGCGAGATCCAGCCGCAGTCGCGGACCGCAGGCCGAGAGCCCAGACCGCGCGCGCAGCCCAGCAGCTCCTCTGCGCGCAGCTTCCTCTGCAACCTCAGCACCAGTCGTGCGCCACTCCGCACAGCAGCAGCAGCCAAGCGCGCGCGAGCTCCAGCCCAGACGCGCACAGCATCCGCCTCGGGCGACCATCGCGCGCAGCCTCTTCAGCGTCAGCCGCAACCAGCAGCGCCAGTCGCAGGCTGCAGTCCGCGCGCGCGACCAGGGGTGCAACCGACAAATCCGCATCGAAGGTTTTCAGCCCAAGATCGGAAAGATTTTTAGTTTCGTTTCCAACCTTAGCAACTACCGGCTATCCCTCCTGGTAAATTCTTTCTTTAATTTTCTGTCCCTAAGTAGCTGAGGCCAGATTACTAGCTTTCTTAGCTGATGTCAGATTTTAATTTCTTAGCTGAGGCCAGATTTTTGATTTGTTAGCTGAGGACAGAAACTGTGTGTTATTTGGGGTGCTGTGATATATCTGTGGTTGATTGTGGTCTATTTGTGAAATTTGGTGCTCAATCAGAGATATTGGTGGAAAGTTTTCACTCTGGTTGTTTATTTAATAGTTTTTGGGGAAATTTTGCTGCGGTTGTTTAATTAAGGAATTTTTGAGGTTGTTTGGTAGAATTTGGGGAAGTTTTCGTAGTTTCCGTGTTTAATTAGTTTTTGGGTGCAATTTTTATTGTTTATCTACTTAATTGATTCTTGGGCTATTTGGTTGCTATTTGTTCACTTGTTGGTGTTTGGAGCTGTGTTTGGGGACCCTTTGCTTTGTTCATTAACTACCGCTCCGTTTTATCCGACTTCACCTTGACTTTGCCCTCTTTTCCAATCCCCAATGACTAAACCGAAAACCAAAAGTAAGAATAAGCCTTCCACTTCATCTCCTCAGCCTACGGTCCCCTTAGAGGGACCTGCCCCATCGACTGGGCCTGGAGGGCCTCGTACCCGCCTTGGACGGAATAGGGAGATTCATATCTCCTCTCCGGCCCATTTTGGCGGTCATTTAACCTTCACCCGGGCTGCCGACAAGGAGCGGTATGCTTCGGCTTGCACAAGGAAGATAATTCCTTGTAAATACCTCCATGGCCCTACACTAGATTTGCTAAACCTGAGGGATGAGGTCGCACAGCACTTGACTAATGTAGGTTGGGCCCGCTATGCTTCTATAAATCAACCTGCTTTTACTGAACTCACGTGGGAATTCTATGCTACCTTTGAATTTAATATTTCTGAGCAATTCTCCGTTACCACTCCTGGGGTTGTGAGGTATCGATTAATGGGTAGAGAGTTCAACCAATCTATCACTGAGTTTAATTTGGCTCTTGGGTTTATTGATATTCCTTACTCCCAGAGTGAGGAGTATATGCACAGTGCGTGCGAGTATATAGAGCCATTTTTCTCTCATTACCTTGATTATTGGAGTGGCTTGTCAGTTGACCAGCAATGCTATGACCCCAGTCAGTCTAAGGCTTCTTATCTTAAGAGTGCCGCCTACCGCTATTTACATAGATTCATGGCCTATAGTTTCTCAGGTAGGAAGGATAGCTCGGGTACTCTGACTAAGCCCGAGTTCTTTTTCGTATGGTGCATGGTCACTCGGACTAGGGTCAATTTGGGTAGCTGGTTCGCCCTCCACCTCCGAACTGTGCTAAGTAAGAAAAATAAGCCATTAATCTTAGGCTCCTTTATTACTCAGTTAGCTGTAAACCTTGGGGTTTTGGACTTGAATAATCATAACTTGCATCGTGCTTGTATTATGGAGCCCCTTGATTTGGTTTGTTTGGAGAAAATGGGTCTTGTGCGACAGGTGAATGGCGCTTTCCAGTTTGCTCCGCCGGGGCCAATCTCCGTTCCTCCGAGGCGCAAAGCTTCCAAATCCACTGCGACTGAGGCTGGTGGTCCGTCCACGGATGCCCCCGGGCCATCTTCTTCGGCACCTCCACCATCTTCCTCCGTCGATAGCCAGCTTGCAGCCCTCCGGTTCCAGATGCAGCACATGGACACTCGTATGGATCGGATGGAGCGGCAAATGGGCGGGGTGGCCCAGAATATAGCGCAGTATCTCCATCACGTGGGCTTCCGCCCGCCTTTTCCTCCGCAGCCGTGATTCATTTCTGCCCTCCTCCGTTTTAAGGGAAGTGTTGTTGCCCCAATACCTCTAATTTGGTCTTACTTTGCTTACATTGAGGGCAATGTCAGGTTTAGGTGTGGGGGAGGGTTAATTATGCTGTGGTTGTGTTTTTAGTTGTCTGTTTAAATTTTTCCCTTGCCTTAGTAGTCCCTTTTCTTTAAACTGTGATGAATGCAATTAAGATATGAGTGTACGTAGCAAGTTCATGCCATGGGGTGTTATATTTTCCTCGATAACGAATTGATTGATGAATATGCTGAACTTGACA